GTTCTCCAGGTACCCACTGGCTGTCCTCTCTCCAACGTGCTCCAGTTGAGCCCTCTATCCCAGGAGGGGGCTGCAGGGCAGGAGACAGAGGGTCCCATCTGCTTCCCCGTCTTCTTGGTCAGCTAACTGGAGGGGCCCTCAGAGGAGAAAGCCTTCTATGTAAGTGCATACTGTGTGCCCAGCACCGAGCTAATGACTGTACCTACAGGAGCTCACTGAATCCTCTTGCTAATTCCTGCAAGGTGGGTAGCAGTATCTCACCTGTAATGAGTTGTACAGGTGAGCAAATTGAGGATCAGAGAAGTGAAGTGACTTGACCAAGTTCACCCAGCAAAGACAATACCCAAGACTTAGATCCTGGTCTGTCTGACTTTAAAACAGATGCTACTTGACTGAGCCAGGCCCCATCACTCTGTATTCAGCTTGATCACTGCATTTCCGTCCTCTCACCTGGCCTTTGCTTGAAGGCAGGGCTAAGGCTCTAACTGAGAGAGGCCAGCAGATTCTAGAGGCAGCCCCATCATTCCAAAGGTGGAGAAGGTGAGCTGGGGGAGTGGCCCCCAGAGCCTCCAGCTCAGGGTAGAGTGTGCTATGCAGCTGGGAGGCAGGGAGTGGACTGGATGATGTCTCCAAGTGCTTTCTTGGCTCAGATGATAGGGCCAGGCAAAGGCTATGGGATGAGGCGAGCAAGACAATGCTCAGGGGCCTGGGGAACCCTGAATTCTCAGCCCTTAGCTCCCATCCCTTTCTTATTCCTCACACACAGTCCCTCCCACCTGTAATATCCTCCCCGCGCACCCTTAGCACCAGCAGAGGGCTAAATCCTTGGTGGAGTAGACGCTGTCTTCTGACATCCTCTCCCTTCAAAGCTGCCTGGCCCCCCCACCAAGAACACGCTTTCCCAACGTTTTCCTTTACATCTTGCCTACATACTTTTACAGCCAAACGGAGCTTTCAAAGGCCTCCTTTTTCATCTCCTAATTAATTTTTATCTTCTAAGACAGAGGGAGGACAACATAGGAGACGCTGTTTGTGATGTCTTCTTCTCCCTGACAACTCCTCACATGAAATTTCCTTTGGAATGATGGGGCTGCCTCTAGCCACCCATCTCCCAGGCTGCATGGGCGGGACCGAGAGATCCAGAGCCCCTGAGAACCTGAAGTCTGCTTCCTGCTGTTGTGTCTTTGGACAGGAATGGGTTCCCTCCCTCGTGTTCTATTCTCAGCCAGGGGGCTTTTTAAGATGGTCTGCGGCCAAGCCAGGAGCACATGCTAACCACGGAAACAAAGTTCATCTGCCCTGCAGGGCGGGACACTAAGGGGTGCTACCTGCTTGGTTCCTGTCCTCAACACCATCTGCATTTGCTCCACTCGGCTCCCACCATTTTTCATCTGTCCATCCATTAACTCAACAATGACATCCACTTGACATGTATTATTTGAGCAACTATGTGCTAGTACTGCGTGTAGGCTGGGGACATAGCTCAGCCAACTGTGGCTTTATTCTTCCCCAATTACCCCTGAGGACTGAGGCGGGGTCCTTAGAGAGGCAATATGGGTATCGTGACAAAGTGCACGGGTGCTAGAACCAGATGGCTTGGGTTCAAATCCCAGCTCTGTTTCACTAGCTGTGTGATGTTAGGCAAGTCAGTAACCTCTCTGAGCCTCACTTTTCATCATATGCAAAATGGAGATGATGATAATAAGCCCTATCTTCAAGTTTTGTTATGAAGATGATATGAGTGAACACATATAAACTGCATAGAACAGTGCCAGTTTCTGCTGAATCGATTCCAACTCATGGCAACCCCATGTCAGAGCAGAACTGCACTTAGGGTTTTCAGTGGCTGTGACCTTTTGGAAGTAGATCTTTCTTCCAAGGTGCCTGCCTCTGGGTGGATTTGAACCACTAACTTTTGGTTAGTAGCTGAGTGCTCAACTGTTTGGGTCACCCAGGGACTCTGCCTGGCACACAGTAAGTGCTTAATAAATGTTACTATTATTGTTGACTATGGCAATGTCTCCTAGACATCTGAGGGCTACCCCTCTGGAGCTGACTCCTGTTCAGCCCTAGTGCTCTCTTCACCATATTCATTCACGGGCAGGGGAGACAATCCCCAGGAGAGGATCCTGGCATGGGTGTAGGGAACCCTCCGTGAGGCACAGCCAGGAGGGCACTGTGAGTGCAGAGACAGAACATCTGACCTTGTACCCTGGCTCCACCACTGATCTGCTGTGTGATCTTGGGCAAATCACCCGACTTTCTAGGCCTCCATTTCTCTAGCTTGAACTCCGGTCTCCTTCCAGCTCTAACTTTTCAATGTTCTGGGCTAATAAGGAGGTTACCACAATGTAGTCAGACATAAAGAAGACTTAATTGACCATCGGGAGGGCAAGAAAGTGGAGTTAGCTCCTCAGAGGAATGTGCAGTTGCTGTTTCTGGCCAACAGGACCTTGTAAGCATGGGCCTTGGGCACCAGCATCCCAGCTGGGAGGCAGCAGCTGTGTCCCTCCTCTGCCCTCTTTGCTGCACGGTTTGCAGGCTGCGGGAGGTGCTGCTTGATGCCGAGGACAGAGGCTCGGTAGGGAGCTGGGACTAGGCTCTTGTAAGCCAATCTGAGCAACTTAGCACGGAGGGAGGCAAGGGCATCCAATCAGCGGCAATGAGCCCACACCAGGCTTATTTATGCTGCTTTCCTTTGATCGGGAGCCCTGCTTAGACACGGGCTCATGTGTAATGCATGAGGGATGCTCTGGCATAGTCAAAGGGCTGGGCTGCAGCCTGGGGGTAGGCACGGTAGGTTTGCACACACACGCACGTGCACGTGCACACTGACAGGCCATTACATACATGTATGCATGCACAGGCAATTACACACACACGCACACACACATACACGTGTACACACATGCATGGGCCATTACACACACGTATGCGTGGTCCAATACATACAATCAGGCCTGTCCCCCTCTCCTCTCACACTTATCTAGGCACACCATGTGGGCATTCAAGCAGAGGCACTCACACACACTCTGCATGCACATATACATGGGCACATGCTTGCATACAATCATAGGCATGTATTCGCATGCCCAAGTCACAGAGATGTATGCATACCTACGCTCACTACCTCACACATGCACACACACACACACACACACACACATGTGCCCTCATGCCCAAGCACAAAAACATATATGTACCCACAGAAGCAACCCTTTTGCACGAGCACATATGTGCACACATACTAATGTACACGAATGCATATTTGCATGTTACATACTGCCACCCGCACATGCACGCAGCCATGTACTCGCTCACACTCATGTACACATACAGAGTCCCATATAGCTCCTAATGTGCTGACAACCATGGTTTTATTGTTCTCATTCTCTGAAAGACATGGTGGTGACCCCTCAGCAAGGCTGTGTTCGCAGCTTCTCAGTGGTAGCTGCGACATCCAAGAAGGGAGCCCTTTCCTCTCTCACTTCTCTTCACTAAGCAGCTGCTTCCAGCCTCAGGGAGGGGTGCAGGGGAGACTGGGCTGGGGGAGAGTGCTGTCAGGGCCTCAGTGTCAGGAGGCAGAAGGCTTTTCCACCCAGTCTCTTCCTTTCCTCCTTCCTCAGGCCCCCACTGGAGGCTCAATTCATCACCCAGAGGCTCAGCCTGGAAAGAGGCAAGGGCTGGGGTGTGGGGAACCAGGGTCCAGGGGAAAGGGAAACAACTCCAGTTTTCCAGATTTGTTGAGTGATTGATTGATAATTAAACAAATAAATGGTTGAATGGAACCTGCAGCCATAGAGTTCCCAAATCTTGACTGTTTCTGAGAAATAATCAGAGCCGTGGTTCTCAAACTGTGGTCCCAGGACCAGCAGCACCAGCATCACCTGGGATCTTGCTAGAAATGCACATTCTCAGGCCCCACCCCCAGACCTATTGAACTGGAAACTCTGAGGGTGGGCCCCAGCAATGTCTGTTTTAACAAATCCTCCAGGTGATTTGGATGTAGGCTTAGGTCTGAGAACCACTCTTCTAGAATAGGGCTTTGGAGGAAGGCAGACGAGGGTCAGCATCTGGCTGTATCAGTTGTGAGTCCTTGGACAAGCCGCTTAACCCCTCTGAGCCTCAGTTTCCACACGTGTAGGATGGAAATAACTATAGCACCTACCTCAGAGGATTTGTCATGAAGATTAAATGCAAATATTTAGCACAGTGCTCCCCCACCCCAGCCCTCTGTGAGCTCTTAGTAATCGTAGCTATTGTTAATATTATACAAACTTCTGGAGGAAGATTTATAGCTACTGGTTCTCAGGGTCATCAAGAGTCTCCTAAATCCTCAGGTATGCTGGGCTAGAAGGTGAAAAAACGTTGGGGAACTGAGTCAACACCTTATAAAGCAGGAGGGAGCAACAAAGTTATGGCCAGTTACTAATTAGAGTAGTAACTTGGGCAGGTTACAGGCACTTTACGTGAAGACACTAGCATCTCAACAGTATGACGTGTGAAGTAACGGTTTTAAATGCTTGTTCAAGTTTTCAGCCTCCTCTCTTTCTTAGAGGATGTGGTCCCTCTGCCCTCCATAGTGATGAAATGCTCACCCCTAGCCCAAACCGGCTTGTTGGAGGCGGATGGTGCTGAGACCTAAAGCCAAGGGCAGGAAGCCCACTGGTCCCAGGGCCTGGTTAGACACCTGGCCAGTCTTTTCTTCTTCCCTCCTCCCCACTCCTTTCTCTCCATCTGTCCTCCTCTGATGATCTAAGGAAACAGAGCACATTCATACTGCTTGTCCTAGGTGTGGAAGCTTCTAGAATCTGTGCTGGGACTAGCCCACATCACCACAGCTCCCCAAGGTCAACTGGTCCCCAAGAGGGAGGGGCTGAGTCCTGAGGATTTCTGGCCCCTTGCCTCTGTGGTTGGGGGGGACAGAAATGCCCTTTCCTCTTCTGCCAGCAAAGGTTGGGGGAGGGCCAGCTCATGGCTCTGCAATGGGAGGGCCTCACCTTGAAGAAGGTCATGGTGGCTCCATCCTTGACAGCCCCATACTCGATTTTGGTTTGCTTGGCCAGGTCGTCAGCAGAGTCGATGGGTGACTCCATCCGCTCCACGGTCAGAAAGGCAGCCAGGTTGGCCGTGTAGGAGGAGATGATGATGAGCGTGAAGAACCACCAGATCCCACCAATGATGCGTGTGGACAGAGCTTTGGGCATCAGTTCAGAGCCTGGGGGGAGGGAGGAAAAAGGTGGTCCCCTACAAGGTCCAGGCCAGGGCTTTCTGAAGCCTTCTGGGTCACAGACTGCATTGACGATCTAATAAAAGCAGAGACCCTCTCCCTACAACAGTGGTCTCAAAAGTGTCGCCCCTGGGCCAGCAGCATCAGCATCAGCATCACCTGGGAACTTGTTAGAAATGCAAATTCTTGGACCTCACCCCAGGACCTACTGGATCAGTAACTTTGGGGGTGGGGCCCCACAATCTGTTTTAATAAGTCCTCCAGGTAATTCTGACGCGTGCTAAGATTTAAGAACAGCTGCTTTATAACAACACATGCACAACATTTCACAGGCTTGTCAGTCTCTCTGAGGTGTATCCACAGACCACCTGTGCTGTCCCAGGTTAAGCACACCTAGGAGTCAGAAGCCCTGGGTTCTTGAGGGAATCTTGCTCTTAACTCTCTGTGCAATCTTGTGCCAGACACATCCCCTCTCTGGGCCTCTGCAGAGAAGGAGAACTTCTCTTCCTCTGTCCTAGCCTCGCACAAACACTGCAATGCTGCAATGAGATAATCTGAGGAAAAATTGTGTTGGAAACACAAGTGGTATACAAATATGAGATTGCTATGTGGTGCTTTGCAGGAGGAAAAAGATCAACATTCTTTGAAGCTCTTCACTGAAATATATCACTCTTCCTCCCTGACCTTGGGTGTGGAGCATATCGTAGATGAAACCTTCTAACTGAAGTAATTAACTAGGCGGCTTTCCAGAGATTTAAATAGCAAGTGACTCCTGAACTTTCCAGAATATTTGGACCTGCAATCTAAAAAACGTCTGCTTTGATATGGATGATTTTTTTTTCTCAAAGAAATCACTCAAGGGAGAGTTTTTCAAATACATAACTATTTTTCTCCCTCCCAATCAAAACCACACAGGGAACGTATCAGGGGCCAGCGCTTTGAATAGCAGCAGGAGCTGGAAGAAGAGAAGCTATTACTGCTCTGAGGGGCTTCTAGGTCTCTCCCAGCTGTCGCCGAACACAGGTGATGGACAAAGAAGCAAGGTGAGACTTCAGGACACTCATTGATAGCAGGGACAGAATGAGGCACTTCCCTTGAAAGCTGCCTGTCACTTCCCAGCTTCTGGAGACCACCAGGTGCCTCAGCTTCCCCTCCTTAACCAGCCACCCCCACCTCATCTGCCTGGTTGCCCCAAGCTAGGGCTCAAGCTGCCCCCCAAAGGGAGAATCACTTATTTTAGTTGTTGGCTTGGTAAGTTCTGCCAGGCTCTGCTGGACCCTTGTCCAGGTTTCTGCCCCTGCCCTGGACTATGCCCTGCCTGAGTGGTCTCTGGGATTGGAGTGTGGGACAGAATTCTCTCTCCTTCTCCTTCACTCAGCTTCTTCCTGAAGTTCTTAATCCATCTCTGTCCCTCCATCTCCATGGGTATATGCCAGTTCAGGCCTCATTATCTCATTTCTGCAGTGGCCTCCCCCTGAGCCTCCTTGCCTCCTATCTCCTCCCTACCCCCCATCCACAGCCGAACTTAACTCAGCTAGATTCTATGGTGGTGAGGCCATAGAAGAGGCCTCGGCATAGGGCAGGCATTCAGGACACGTTGGGATATCACTCACTCATTCATTTGGCATTTGCTGATGGATGTCTACTGAGGACCGCGGTGTGTGCTGGGCCCTGAGGATATGCATAGATGGGTGAGGCACAAGCAGTGTCCTTTGCCCCTTAGAGCTCTTCTCACCCCCCGGGTCACCCACTGCCCCTCAGCGGGATCCTAACACAGGCAGAAACTTTCGCTGTCCCCAGTTCCCCGAGATAAGGCAGTGAAACGCTCTGGATGTTGCCTCCATAGGTAGAGGCAATGCACACAAGGCTCCCAGCCAGCAGTGCTGAGAAGAGTTCTCCCTGCAGGGGGTTTCCTGGCTGAAGGCCCTGTCTCTCCCTGTGCCTGCCCTCCAGCCCTGTGGCATCTCTGCATCACACTTCTTGCAGGTAGGGTGTACCCTGCCTTCTGAGATATTTGAGCAGCTGCAGATATTTCCAAAGGGCAGGCCACCAGCCCAGGCCAGGCTGCAGCACACTGGCCCAGACTCCAGCAATGTAAGAGATGGTGTCCTTCTGTCATCCCATCTCTGATGTACTCAGCCTAAAGTCACCACATCAGCCATTACCCCTCTGACCCCAGACTCCCCATGGCCAGGCGGCCACGAGTCCTGTCCATGCTACATCCTGAAGTTCTCTTAGACCATCTCTGTCCCCCCATCCCCATGGACATGCCCCAGTTCAGGCCCTACCATCTCATTCCTGCAATGTCCTTGCCTCCCAGCCTCCAGTCTCCCCCCATCCACAGCTCAGTGTTGCTAAGCTAGATTCTATGGTGGTGAGGTGACTGATGGGGTCAGCCCCAGCAAGCAGGATGCTCTATGCCCACCACAGCTGGAGCAGCAGGTGCTGGCAATGAACCCTGCATGCTACGGGTGGGCAGTGGCTTATCTTCTTTAGCCTCTGAGCTTGAGTCAGGCCTAGTCAGGGCAGTGGTGGAGGGTTGGGAACTGGACATAGCCAGGCCATTCTGCATATTCCAGCTATCTCCAATTTCTGATGGCCTGGCAGGCTACCATGGGGAGTGGGCTGGCTCTGTTGACTCCACAGATGCTGAGGAGTCCCTGGGGAGAGGAGGCCTCGGGAGAGGAGGCCATGGGAGAGGGCACATACCTTGCTGCATGAGGGACCCCATCCCGAACCAGAAGCTGTTGAGCAGAGTGAAGTTGTTTTCCACTACCTCAGAGCCGGGGTTGCAGGGGTGAGCATCGTACCACTCATAAGGGCTGAACCTGCAGCAGGGATAGGGGAGCAGTGAGGCTGAGCTGTGGAGAGATGGGAGGCAAGGAGTGTCCACGGCACAGGGGACTTCGAATATGTGCCAACCACTTTAGCATCGATTTCCTTATTGTTCTGCTGGGGAGGCAAGGAATGGGAAATCAGGGCCATTTTTTCTGGATCTTTATTGTTAGTGCCCTTTTCTAGTTATAAAAGTAATTCAGCAGTATCTGCTAAAATTAAAAGTGCACATGCCCTTCAACCTAGCAATTCTGCGACTCATTATTCACCCTAGAGAAAACACTCGTACATGCGCATAAGGAGAAAGGCACAGGGTGTTTAATCAAAGCATTGTTTGTAATAGCAAAAAAAACTGTAAACAACCTAAATGTCCTTCAATAGAGGAATGATTAAATAAACTCTGCCACAACCGTACTTTGAAAATATCACGAAGCTGTTAAAAGAGAAAGAGGTACTTCTGGATGTACTGACAGGAAAAGATCTTCAACACATATTGTTCAGTTAAAAAAAGTGATAAGGAGGTGGGGCCAAGATGGTAGAGTAGTCAGATGCTTCTGGTGGACCCTCTTACAACAAAGACCTGAAAAAACAAGTGATTAGATTATATGAGGCAATCTGGGAGCTCTGAACATCAAAGGCAGAGTTGAGGAACTGGACTGTGTGGCAGGGGGAGGGAGAGACGGTTCGGAAGCAGTGAGGAGTTGCCAGACCTGACCTGGTGAGAGTCTGAGCCCTTCAGGCTTAAGCAGCTCGTGGGTGAGCAGTGAGGCAGGCTTGAGAGGCGTGTTTTCTGCACCGGGAGAGACCCAGCACCAGAGACTCTACATGGCCACCCAGAACCAGTGAGAAGCAGCCCTCAGTCTGGCCAAAGATAAGTAATTGTGTATGGCCTACCGTGCGGATCAAAACCACCTACCTTAGGGAAAAACCTCTTTCCCATTTACCTCCCTGCTCCCTGCTCTGCACTGGGTCCCAGACTGGCTTCAGCAATTGCCGAGTCCCCTGGGCTGGAAGTAGGATCCGTCACACGCCCT